CACCTGGCTGAGGAGCTGAAGTCTAGCCAACATCCTGCCTGCCAAGATGTGTATCTGCAAAACGCTGTATCTGTCCAGAGGGTTCTGCAGACTGCACCGTCTCCTAATGTGTGCCCAGGCCCTGGAGTGGCAGGCAGTTGGGTCAGGAGCCCTAGAAGCTCGCGCCTGAGGAGGTCACCTTCCCAAAGGCCAGCTCCTGCCCAGGGTGGGGCTTTAGGCACCTGGATGTGGAGGCAGGCCCGTGAAGCAGCCCCTAACACCACCCCCTGGGCTCTGCAGAGCTGTTGTGCAGAGTGGAGCTCTTGGTCCACCACGGGGCCTGAGGCTTCGGTCTCACATCGGCCTTTTGTGCTGTGGACTTGGGGCAGCTCACTTCCCCTCTCCTGGCCTCACTTTCCTGATCTGTAACGTGGACGAGCTGATCGTAACGGTCCCTTGAGCACTGACAGCCTGCTTCTTGCCTGAGCCTCTGTGTTCCAGAGGCTGATAAGAATGATGGGGAAGAGGCCCAGTGTTTCTTGAGGGCCTCCTAGGGGCCTGGCTCTACGCAGTGTGTATATGGATGTCTGACTCCCACAGCAACTTCCTGAGGGCTGCACTGATACTCTCCCAGATTTTATAGCAGGAAACTGAGGCCAGAAGTTAGTTAATGGCCAAGATCATTGACTTAGAAAGCAGTAGCACTTGGATTTAAACCCTGACCTTCACTCCAGAGTTCAACTCTTGTTTTGTTTTGTTTTGTTTTGTTTTGTTTTGTTTTGTTTTGTTTTGAGTCAGGGTCTCACTTTGTAGTGCAGGCTGACCTTGAACTCACTGCAGTCCTCCTGCCTCAGCTTCCTGAGGGCTGGGATTACAGCCATGTGCCACCATACCTGGCTCCTGAGTTCAACTCTTGACCCCTTTTTCCCAAGACATGTAGACTAGGCTGTTGCAGGCCCTGGTGCTCAGTTCTATCCCCAGAAATAGTGAGTGGGTTGAAGGTACCATCCTGGGTATCTTCTCATATGACCACTGGATATTAGAACTGCAGAGGCTGTTAGAGATGACCAGGTCCAGCCACCCTCCTGCTGCTTCACACATAGGAAAACTGAAGCTCAGAAAGGGTGATAGCCACAGCCTCACCTGGCAGAGGTGAAGTTATGCCACTAGAAAGCAGCCAAGATGGGTTTAAAATGCAAACAGCAACACCCACCCTCCTGATCATGCAACCAAAATCTCTGAACACGGGGTCCTGTAGACCTCTCCAGGATGACCAAACATTTTCCAAGGGCCAGATGAGGGATGGGCAAAAGAGGTGTGCGTGGGCAGCTGTGGCCCTCGGCAGAGGCTGAGAAGGTGAGGACATAAGTGGAAACATTGACTGGTTTGCCCCCACATGTGTGTATGTGTGTGTGCAGGAGGAGAATACACACACACGCACGGCCCAGCACTAAGAGGCTCATCATCGGGTTGGTAGTATGGCTGAGCAGGCAGGCAGAGGGGCGTGTGACCTCAATTTTCTGGTGGGTTGGTGTTTCCGACAGTTTGTATGGTGGCGTGAACAGGGTTTCCTACCCTGAGACCTGTTCTGCCCTCCCCTCACATGTGATGGGGGGTACCTCACAGCACTGCTCTGAGCCTCAGTTTCCTCCTTCGTAAGTGGGATTATACATACCTCCTGTGGTTCAGAGGGTCCAGAGTGGTTCCACGGTGTGATAAGTAATAAAGGATAGGTGCTATCAGTGTGATTTGTTGGAGGATTTTTTGGTGCAAGATTAGCAGTGTGGGCCTTGCTGCCGAGATTCTAAGCCCAGCTTGGTTGTTTTCTAGTGCATAACCTTGACTAAGTCACTTCTTGGGAGTCTCCAGTGCCTCATCTCAAAAGGCATCATAGGCCTGCCCTACAGGTTGTCTTGAGGATTACATGAAGTGATGCATATAAAGCTCTTTTTGTTTTTGTCCTTTTGAGACAGGGTCTCACCATGCAGTTTAGGCAGACCTTGAGCTCACTTTGTAGCCAAGGCTGGCCTCGAACTTGCAATGATCCTCCTGCCTCAGCCTCCCAAGTGCTGGGATTATGCATATAAAGCTCTTAATCTAGTGCTGCTGCATAGTAGGTGCTCAGTAAATCATTATCTCTAATAATGGCTAACATTTATTGAGTATTTATATGATGCCAGGCATAATTTATTAGTGGTCAAAACACTGACTTGTGATACCAGAGCTTGAACCCACGGGAGTGTTGAGCTACGTCCTCAGCCCTTTTTTCTCTTGTTTTTTTGTTGAGATAGGGCCTCACTAAGTTGCCCAGGCTAGCCTTGAACTTTCGGCCCTTCTGCCTCCGCCCCCCAAATTGCAGATTCCAGGCATGCACTACCACCCCCAACAATTTTCATTATTATCTGGTGCTGGAGATCAAATAAAGGGTTTTGTGCGTGCTAGACAAGTTCTATACCACTGAGCTACACTCCCAACCTTAATAATCTGTCTGCATTAGCAAACGTCTTTGTACCACACCCCCCAAAACTAGCTGATCATTCACACCCACTGCCTCATTTTCCTACAGTGAAATAGAGGCCTAGAGAGCCAGGCGTGGTGGCGCATGCCTGTGATCTCAGCCCTCAAGGAGCTGAGGTAGGAGGACTGCTGTGAGTTCAAGGCCAGCCTGAGCTACACAGAGAGATGCCTCAAAAAACTAAAAAAATAAAAATTAGGCCTAGAGCAGGGCAGTGACTGGTCCAAGGTCACACAGCCAGCTTCCCGGTGCCCTGTGTGGTTTGGTCCAGCTCAGCCTGCTGCAGAGCCATGTTCCATGACAGCCTCCCACAGGGACACCCTCCTCCACCCGCCTTTCCCATTACTCTCCGGAGCCAGCAGCTCCTTGGCGCTTCAAGCTTCGTGAATGGCTTGGTGAAGCACTCAGCCGTGAAACGTTCATCTCTTACAATTTCTATCCAGTTCCTATAAGTTTATTGGCAAGACGGGGTATATTAGAGCTGCCAAATTTAATATATCAAGTCCACATGTCTGAGATGCGGTTTCTCGGCAGTCGTGGGGGAAGAGAGGTTTTATACGTTTTCATTTGGAATGACTGGCTGTTCCTGATCCCATTACAGCCCCTGACTTAATGGCTGCCATCCCTGTCTGCCGCAGGAGTGACTTTCTCCATCAACCTGCTTGGCTGCCTAGACTATCCGGGATGCTTGTTTGTCTCTGCATTTCCTCCCCGTCTCTCCCTCCCAAGATGCAGTCCTGCATCCGTCTGCTCCGTGAGTCAGGTCCCAGCTTCATCCTTATTTGCCAGGTCCCGAGAGTCTGTCTGCGCTTGTTAGGGAAGTCATTCCCTGTCCTCCTCTGGACCTTCAGAGCCTTCTCTGTGAAGTAGAGACCAGACCACAGCATCAAGGGCTGAGTTAGCCTCAGGCTTCTCATGTCCCAGAGTGGACCCATTCCTCCTCTGATCATGTGGTACCAAACTGGAGGACCCGGGGGCTGTCTGTAAGAGATATAAAATAACTGCCTACCTTGGGCAGCAGCCTGAGACAGGAGTAGTGGCTGTGATGCCCGTGTCTGAGGGGTCTAAAATGGTAATATTCTCATCTCCTTCCAAGACTGGCTGGGGACTTGTCACCCAAGAATTCATTAATCTGTTTGGGAAGCTGTTAGCACCTGCTGCCTGAGCCCTCAGCTTCCCTAAGCGTTGAGCTGGCTGTGGAAGAGAAGACACCTGGCAGTGTGATTTTAGGGGAACTGTGTTTACGTTCTGCTTGCCAGCTGTGTGACCTTAGGCAAATCACTTCCTTTCTCGGAACCTCAGTGTTCCAAGGGAAAATGGGAATTAATTCATTTATGTCACAATGCTTGATTGCCTACCCTGTATCACGTGCCATTTTAGGTGCTGGGCCTCCAGCCATAGGCAAAGCAAAAGTATACCTGCCTTCATGGATTTATATTTTTGCTAGGGGAGAAAGACAGTACACGTAAGTAATTTATTACTTCACAGGAGAAATAAATCAAGGAATGGGGAAAGCTAAGGGGAGGGTTCTGCGATTTTAAACACAGTAAAGCGGTCATGGCAGATTACTGAGAAAGTAGCACTTGAGCAAAGACTGAAGGACTGAGTGCAGGTGTGGCAGGTGCCTGGGAGAGAGCACCCCGGTCCAGGAGACGGCAGGTGCCAGCCCTGGGAGTGGCCGTGTGAGGAGCACCGTGGAGGCAGTGTGGCCTGCACGGAGAGAACCAGGAGTAAGGAGGCCACAGGGCAGCGTTGTGGAAGGGGAAGAGAGGCTGACCAGAGGGTGTAAAGCAGGGTCCTCCCGCCTGGATACATGTTAGGGGTACCTGGCAGCTTTAAAAAAATATCAAGGCCTGGGCCTCACCCACTTAAGTTCTGTTTTGTTTTGTTTGTTTGTTTTTGTGGTCCTGGGGGGTTGAACCCGTGTCCTTCACACTGAGCTACATCCCCAGCCCTTTAGCTTTTATTTTGAGACTAAATTCACTGAGTTCTCTAGGCGAGGCTTGAACTTGTGATCCTCTTGCCTCAACCTCCTAGAGTGCTGGGCTTACTGGTATGTGCCACCATGCCCAGCTTGAGGTTCTATTTTTTTAGTTTTTGAGACAGGGTCTTACTGTGTAATTCAGGCTGTCCTTGAACTTGATATGTAGCCCAGGCTGGCTTTGAATTTGCAGTGATCCTACTGCCTCAGCCTCCTACAGTGCTGGAATTACAGGCCTGTGCTATAATGTTCAGCATTTGAGGTTCTGGTGTTTTGTTGGTTTGGTTTGGTTTGGTTGGTTTGGTTTGGTTTGGTTTGGTCGGTTTGGTTTGGTTTGGTTTGGTTTGGTTTGGTTTGGTTTGGTTTGGTTTGAGACATGGTCTTGCTACGTTGTTCAGGCTGGCTTTGAACTCACTGTGTAGTCCAGGCTGGCCTTGAACCCAGCAGTCCTTCCAAGTGCTGGGATTACAGACGTGCTTATAGCTTTTTCTCTGATGGTCTGACCAAGTGTTCATGGTTCCCCAGGCAGCTGCAGCACCTGGTACAAGTGGGCATGGGGAAGCGATACTTCTGTGACTACTGCGACCGCTCCTTCCAAGATAACCTCCACAACCGAAAGAAGCACCTGAATGGGCTACAACACCTCAAGGCCAAGAAGATGTGGTACGACATGTTCAGAGGTGAGTGCTCAGTAGTGGGACTCCTGGAGCCTGTGCTCTGATCTTTCTGATCATTAAACAGGACCACCATGGTCAGCAGCAGTCTGAGTCAGGGCTGTCTGAAGATCGAGAGAGGAAGGAGCTGGGCGAGTGGCACATGCGTATGATCCTAGCACTTGGGAGACTGAGGCGGGAGGGGTGCATGCACAAGGCCAGCCTGGGCTACAGAATGAGCTTGAGGACAGCCTGAGCTACATAGGAAGGCGCTGTCTCAAGGAGAAGAGGGATAGAGGGGGCGGGGGCAGGAAGAGAGGGAAAATACCGGCAGAGGTTGGGTCTGTAGTTCCAGGGCTAGCGGCGCCCTCAGAGAGGGCAGGTCAGAATGGGAGGTCCTCTCCCAGTGATCTTGACCGAGGGCTTTGTGCCGCATACACTGTGGGCCACCCTGTGGATACTGTGGGCAGGAAGGGGCCTCTGAGGAGTGACCCTTCAGCCACCAGCTGAAATGCTGCTCACAGGTCTATAGCCCCTGTTCTGGGGGAAGGTATGCAAAAACGCAGGGATCCATAAGCAAAGCCCTGGGTCTGGGAGCAGAGGGGCAGGGGTAGATCTGTGAGGGAGAAGGCAGGACCCAAAGCACTGAGTAGATCTTTCAGGTCCATGAGGCCAAGCAAGGGACTGCACTGTCCCAAGGGCAAAGGACAGCTAGCAGCCTTGGGAGGCCGCTAGGCAGAGGCCAATACAGCCTGTTCTGTGCTCACTAGCAAGGACTCTGGGGCTGGATGCACAATGAAGTTGCTACTCAGTGTCTGGCTAGAGGGAGGGATGAATAGCCCAGCTGCGAAGGGAGGAAGGCGGGGAGGGAGGGCTCTTAGGGAAAAGCCTCTCAGAGCAGGTGCATCTGGGGCAGTGAGCTGAGATCTGAAGCATTCAGCACAGGGCCTGGCCCCCTGAGGGCGGGGTTGCATAGAGATGGGAGCTGTGCTGCCGCACAGCTGTCTTTAGACATGCACACTGAGGCATGGCCAGGGAGGGGCTGGAGCGCACCGGCAGAAGGACGAGAGAGCTTGGCAGTGTGGCAGGGGTGGACCAGGAGCTCCTACAATGAGATGGGGCGGAGCAGTGCTACACAAGTTGGGAGCAGGATTCTAGGACATGGCCCAGAGTCCCAGAGGAAAGTACTGAGGCCTAGTAGCCAAGAAGAGAGGAGAAGGAAGGGAGAGGGTGTTCTCTGGTCTGAGACTCAATGTGTATAAGGGAGTTGGCATTTAAATAGAGTATCTGTCCAGCCTGGGCTACAAAGTGAGCTCAAGGCCAGCCTGAACTGCATAGCGAGACCCTGTCTCAAAAAGACCAAAAAAAAAGAGTATCTGTGACATGCCTGTCACATGCCCAGTGCGTGCCATGGTTTGTCATTTGTTTCTCTCAGTGACTCTTCAACACAGAGGTTCTCAACCCTGGCTGCAGGGTAGGATCACCTGGAGACCTTCACATAAAAACCATTAGCCGGGTGCTGTGGTACACACTTGTAGTCCCAGGTACTTGGGAGGCTGAGGCACAGGATTACTCGAGCCCAGGAGTTCAGGACTAGCCTGGGGCACACAGCAAGACATTGTCCCAAAAAGGAAATAAAAATACTGACTCCTCTGACGCCCTCCTCAGAGACAGACTGGGGTGAGTGGGGACTAGGTATGGTATTTTTAAAGCTTTCCCAGATGTTCCCCACTTCAGATGAGGAAACCGAGGCTCAGGCTTGAAGGTTGCTTAGCAGGTCAAGCATGCCTGTGGTTGGGAGGGAGCAGGAGTGGGGCAGATGGGGAAATCAGGAGCAGGGAGGGCTTCTAGGTGCCTGAGAGGCCTCTAACCCTGGCATCAGGTGAAGGCCCCCTGGCCCCAGATCCAAGGGAGGCTGATCCGGCATCAGCCAGGCAAAGTGTACCTTGGCCTTTGCTCCAAGTCCGAATCTCTCAGCTGAGAACAGCTCGGTCTTGGGTCCAGAGCTCGTGGACGGGGGTCCTTGGGATCCTTATAGAAAAGAGGAAAGGGCAGGTGCCTTAAGCCCTTCCTCAGGCCTCCTGTGTTCTTAGTGTCCTCTCACATCCCCACCCACATTTAGTCCTTAGAACAGCTCTGCAAAGAGTGCTGGTGGTCCCGGGGCCCCCACTTACAGGCAACGATTTTAAAATGCAGACCAGTGGACCCAGAGTTTCTAGCTACTGGTGGCCAAGGTGGCATATGCACTCTTTCCACTTCTGCAAGAGGCTTCCCCCAGGACCCCAGTCACCCCGAGGAGCGGCACAGGCTCTGGGAGGCACTGCGTGCCCGCCCGGGTGAGCGCTGCTCTCCACACCAGCTCTGCTCCCAGCTTCATCCCTTGGGCAGCTCCCTGAGCCCCCAGCAGCTGAGTATCCGAGGGCTTGGTCAGGACAAGCGTGGGCCCTGGAACCTGGATGCCTGGGTGTCACTCACTAGTGGTATGGTGCTAGTTTCGCCACATGTAAAACAGCCATAAGAAGTGCGCACCTCCCAGGGCTGTGACAAGGGTTTGGCCCTCCCGTGATGACTGGCACATGAGGGGTCGCTAAACAGGAGCAGTGTCTGCAGAAGGATTGCCCTCAGGCCCCGTATCTCACGGGCTCATTTGTTCAGCCAGTGCCCAGTGAATACTTAGCTTGTCCTTAGCTCTCAGGTAGGCTCTGAAGATTCAAAGACGGGTAAGGCAGGGCCTTTATCTCCAGTTACCACACTGCTCGGGGCAGAGCCCCTGTCCTACCTGTGTCTGTGTTCTGGCCTCTCCCTCCTGGCCCTGGTCACACTGCTCACTGCATATACTGCCCTCTTTCCGGGCATGCTCTTTCTGTTCTCTGCCCTACCCCAAATCAGCAACCCCCATCTCAGAACTCAACTCAAGCAGCAAATCCTTGGGACGCCCTCCCCGCCCCCTGGCCAGGTCACACGTTGGGCTGCAGGTTCAGTGTTTATCCCGTTTACATCCACGTGGATTAGTGTAGCTGTTGGACTGGAAGGAAGGACTGGCTGTGACTTGTTCTCCACTTAAATCCTCATCCTGGCTCGGTGCCTGGCACACAGGACGTGCTCAGTGAACATTTGAAAGATGAATGTCTAAATGACTGAGCAAACACAGGGTGCCAGGGTCACTGTTAATTTTGGGAGATGAAGAGGAAGAACTGACAGGTCAGATCACAAGGAGCGTTGAACACCAAGCAGAGGAGCAGGGGCCTCTTAGGGCAGGGCCTGGGTTTTGGCTTCTCGATCTGGAGTGCATGTCAGAGGCACTGATGAACATTTAATAATTCTGATTCTCTCCTGAAAGTTAAAGCAGAATCTGAGAAGGGCGGGTCCAGGGGGCCCATGTACTTTTTTTATTGTTTATTTTTCATTAGTATGGTTTTGCATTACATAATAATTACATTTCTCATGAGGCATTGGTACATGTACATAACACCTATGAATTCTTTTTTGTTTCCTATCTCTCCCACCCCTCTCCGCTCCTTCCCTGTCTTGGTCCCCTTCCCATTTATAAAAGCTCTATTTCCACTTTTTTCTTTCAGTTCTCCATATTTTTCCTTCCTTCCTTCCTTTCTTTTTTATTTATTGATTTTTTTGAGACAGGGTCTCACTTCATGGTTCAGGCTGGCCTTGAACTCACTATGTAGCCTAGGTTGGCCTTGAACTTGCAGTGATCCTCCTGCCTCAGCCTCCCAGGTGCTGGGATTATAGGCGTGTGCCAGCACACTGGCTCCATGTGCTTTACTATGCAGTGATTCTGAAGTGTAGGAGGGTTGAGAACCTTTGGCCAATGGCTGTGTGTCATGGAAATTCTCCCCAGAACCATCCAGCTAAACTCCTCTGTCTCACCCGCTGTGCCAGCCTCAGTGGTCCTGGCCTCAGTGGGGCCTTGGAAAACATTCACATACCTTCCACCAGGCTGCTTCTCCCAGGAATGGCAGCCAGGGCAAGTTGTGGTATCTGTATTCTCTGTTGGGAGAGCTGAGTCTGATAAGCCCTTTGCCGACAGGTAGCCCTTCTCTACTCTGCTGACCCTACCCCTGGCTCTGTCAGGCTCCCCCTGGAGTGAGTCCTTTGATAACCAACTTCCAACCCCAGCAAATTCCCAGCTCCTTCAGCCACTGGTGCCCTGCAAGGAGGCATCTCCCAGGGATGGGCCATTTATTCAACCACCAGGAAATCAGCCACCACGTGGACAAAATAGGGGCTCTAAAAGTCTCACACAGCAGGGTTCAAGCCCGGGACTACCAGCTTCTTAAACGTGTTTCCTTGGGCAGGTCATTTCTCTGTGTGAACCTCAGTTTCCCTTCTACACAATGGGGTGTTAGTACTGTACAGTGGTCTTGGGAGGAGGAAATAAGAACTCCTGCCACTGGTGGGCACCCAGTTAGTCCTGACTGCTCCTCATTGCTTGGGCAATAGGGTCCCAAGGTGCACCTGGTCCCACAGGCCGATTCCATTGTTGTCACTTTCTTGGTGATTCGATGGTTCCACCGGGGTTGGAAACCACAAGCCTTTTCTACCAAGTGCTCTCCATTCATAATTTTATTTAATTTTCATAGCAGCCCTGCCAGGTGGGCATTTTTCTCCCATTTACTTGGGGAATGGGGTGGGCTACCCACTGAAACTAAGCACCCTGCCTGTGGTCCGGTGTACCTGGGATTTGAGCCCGAATTTCTTGGACCCAGAAGCTTATGGTCTTTCCTCTAGCCCAGCTGCCTCTAAGAAAGGCAGCGGGCAAATGTGCAGCCCAGCCTAGCCTCTCCCATCTAGTGTGGACAGAGGGCCCCAAGTTTGCATACCTCCTCGGTATCTTATTCACAGACCGATTTTTCTTGAGGTAGGGGTCTGTTTATGTTGCCCAGACATCTGACTCCTGGGCTCAGGCAACTGAGCCTTAGCCTCCTGAGTGGCTGGAGCTAGAGATGTACAGCACTGTACCCAGCCTACTCGGAGATTTTGACTGATTGATACCTCACCTACCAAGATGAACACATTTTAAAGCCATGGCTATATGACAAAAAATAAAGGCAGGAAAAACTGGAGAAAACCGGAGTTAAAGTTAGTATCCAAAGTGATTGCTGGGAAGTCCTGTCCAGGGCAGTGGCTGGCCTGGCTGTGAGCACCACAGCTGGTGACAGGAGATAAAACAGAGAGCAGGGATTGCGTCTTGCCTAGGGCACAATTCCTCAGCTCTGGGATTGGTTGGTGGGCTTCTTGGGCACCATTATTTTTTTTAAAAGCTTTTTATTTTGACATATAGTTGTGCTTGCTTAATGACCAGGGTACAACCTGAGAAATGCATCTGTTAGGTGATTTCATTATTGTGCACACATCATGGAATGTATTTACATAAACTAAGATGGCTCTGACATAACTAGGTGCTCTAATCTCCTGGGACCATCACTGTATATGCAGCCTACCATTGATCAAAATGTCGTTATGCAAGCACATGACTGTAACTATAGATTCACAGGAACTTAGAGTCACACCAGAGGTCCCATGGAACCTGGATCAAAACCAAACCAAACCAAGCCAAAAATCTCCCCAAGTAATTCCACTGTGCAGGCAAGGTCAAGAATCTCTGACCTCAAACCCAATTCTTATCGTTGGCTGGTCCTGGGTGAGTAGGAAGATGGGGTCACCTGTCGCTTAGATCCCTCTGCCCAGCAACCCCACCCTTTTGTTTTTTTTTTTTTTTTGGTCTTTTTGAGGCAGGGTCTCACTATGCAGTTCAGGCCTTGACCTCACTTTGTAGCTCAGGCTGGTCTTGAACTCAGGATGATCCTCCTGCCTCAGCCTCCTGAGTGTTGAGATTACAGGCGTGTACCACCATGCCCGGCTGTCATCCCCACCTTTTACTCCATGATTGTGGAGTTCTTTGTGACTTGTTACTGCGTGCCTCTGAAGTCCATGCACCTTTGCCTCTGCCACCCTTGGAGCCATCTGAACTGAGCCCCTCTTTCCTCCTGCAGATGCGGCTGCCATCTTGCTGGATGAGGAGAACAAGCGACCTTGCAGGAAGTTCCTGCTGACCGGTAAAGTACTCTGCTTAGCTCAGATCCTTCAGGAACCAGCAGTGCCTGTCTGTGTGGAATTCTCTGTGTGTCTCCTCAAACCCTGGCCGTCATCCTGAGCCCAGCAGTGGGCTGACTGGTCAGTCAGGGCCTCCCCAGGGTTGAGCCTTGGGCCTTCCCAAGGCCTGGTCCTCAACTCCCTAAACCTAGAATGTGACTTTATTGGCTCACTCAGAACAAGCAAACAGTAGAGGTTTTAAGTAAACTCAGGGACTAATAGACTAACTGATTACATTATCCTGGGAATCCAAAAATGGGCATCTGAAATGAATAGACACTTTTCAGATGAAGAAGTAGAAATGGCAAATAAATATAGGAAAAAATGTTCAACATCACTGGTCATTTGAGAGGTACAAATTAAACAACACTGAGATTCCATCTCACTCCAGAAAGAATGTCTGTTATCAAGAAACCAACCAATTACAAATGCTGGAGGGGCTGTGAAGGAAAAGGAACCCTTCTCCACTGTTGATGGCAGTGTAGACTGGTACAGCCACTGTGGAAATCAGTGTGGAGAGTCCTCAAAAGACTAAAACTAGAGGTTCCATTCTACCCAGCTATTCTTCTTCTGGGTATCTTCACAAAAGAATTAAAAGCATCATACTACAGTGATATATGCACACCCAGGTATATAGCAGTACAGGTTTTTTTTGTAGATTAATTACATTTATTTACAGTCTTCACTTTACCAGCAGTGCAGCCTAAAATTGCCAGTATCCTGTTTTAGTCAATTCTAAAATTGATACTACTGATCAAATAGCAACTGTGATATAATTTCAAGAAAACCTTTAAGTTCAAAGAAGCAGCAACAGCATACAGGCTAGCAGCACAGTTTGTAACAGATAAATCTTGGAAACAACCTAAATGCTTGTTAACTGATGAATGGATAAAAAAGATGTGGAGTTTTTTTATGCAATGGAGTACTACTCTGCCATAAAGAAGGATAATCTTGAAACATTTCTAGGTAAATGAATAGACCTTGAGACAATACTCATTAGTGAAATAAATCAGGCACATGTGTTCAAATATTGCATGGTTTCTCTGGTGTGAGAAACCAAAAGTGTAAACAAGGACCAAAATGTATAACAGATACTGGGAAATGGGAAGAAAACGTTCAAATGAGAAGAGGAATGGAGGTGGGGGTAGAAGGAAAGAAGGGACAAGAAAAAAAAGAACAGAAGGAAAAATGGAAACAAAGCTTTTGTAAATAAGGAGGGGAAGAGAGGTTGAAGGGAGGGGAAGGAAGGGGAGGAGAATGGGAAAGAAAGAAGCAGCAAGATCTATCACATAAGGTACAAATTCTCTGTGATGAATGTTACCATCAGGTATATCTAAAATGTACCAATAAAAAAGTTTTGAAAAGTAAATAAATTACCCTGGGAGCCCTTCCTCCTGTCGCCTCCTTCCCAGCAGGCAGAGCCTGGGACAGTAACAGGTCTTATGCGCTGAGGAAGTTCACAACCAGGGCCAGGGATGCTAGGTGTCCAGGCACTTTCAGTACTCAACTCATAAAAATTAACATAATTCAAAGAGACAAAGACATAGTAAGTGGAGGAAGCAAAGGCAGATGAAATTACAGATAGGAGAAATAAGACAAGCCAGGAGAGAATGGGTCTGTTTGCTCCTGAGGTCCTGGGTACCACTCTCCAAGGGTTTGGCCCTGCGCTTCCTAGCAGCTAAGGCACAGAGGAAAGCCATGATGACTCACATGGTTTGCAAGGGAAGCCGGCACGGGGGAGAGGCCCTGCTGCTGAGCTGGGAGCTGGGTGAACGGCCGTGCTGTCCTCAGGAGATGTGCTGCCCCCACGGGCCCTGCAGATCAGGGCCTTTCCCGTAGACTTGGCCTTGATGTGCATATGTCACTGGTGTGTTAAACGGCCTGGGACACCACCAGTGAGTTGCTCAGCCCTTAGAGTGGATCCTCAGCATGAGGAGCTGCCACCGGGATCATGAGCAGGACATGGTGGTTCCTGAGGGTGGGCAGGGCCTGAGAGAGTCTAGTGTTTCAACTAGGGTTGCTACTCTAGGCCCTGAAATCATGCCCCTAACACTCTAGGAGCCATCATCAGGGTGCCCACAGCCCATGTTGGCAAGTGACAAATAACTCTGTCTTCCCGTTGCAGGCCAATGTGACTTTGGCTCCAACTGCAGATTTTCCCATATGTCAGAGCAAGACCTACAGGAGCTGAGCATCCAGGTGGAGGGTACGTTGCCGCAGGGACTCCGGGTGAGGTGGGAATGGGGTGAGGGAGGGGCTGTGGGATCTGAGACGAGAGAAGCCAGCCTGTCCCTCTCCACCTCTCCCTACTGGAGGCCATCATGGACAGTAGGCCCAGGGCTGCCCAGGGTGATGGGGCCCTGAGTTTCAGTTAGAGGTGAGTGTCCGGAACTGGGCTGTGTCCCCAGGAGGTGAAGCATATGTGGTTTCCTTCCCTGGAACACGGAGGGTGTGCCTCAGCCCCACCCAGCCCTGCTGCTAACCAACCAGCAGTTGTTCCTGGCTGTCTTCCCTCCCTCCTCCGCTCACTCAGACTGGCACTGAGGAATCTGCTTGGCCCCAGGCAGATCCCCCACAATGCTCTGGAGACAGGGGATGAAAGAAAGACTCTTCTTGCCCTCTGGATCCTCACAGCCTGCTGATTTCACAGAGAAAAAGTTCAGCTTCTATGGAAACTGGCATATCTGCCTTTGAAAAATTCCCTGCTCACTTCCCAATAACAAAACAAGGAAGTTTCTACTTGGGTGATCTTCACTGATCTTCTGTAGCTGCTCCTTGGACAAGTAGAGGGAGTGCAGCTGCATTCAGGCCAAGGCCGTCCTGTGATCCCCGATGCAAGTGGGAGGTGGACTCCGGGTTCCTGGGGAGCTGCCCCCACTCTTCTCTCTCCAGCCAGAACATGCTGGACAGCTTGACCCTGGCCCTTGTCCCCCACTAGGCCTTGATCCCCTCTGCCAAGCCAGACCCGAGGGTGCCACACCCTCCCCTGGAGAGCTGATGGCAGTGCATCTGCAGCCCTGGCACCCGCGCAGGATTTCTAGGAGCTTTCCCAGAGCAGAGGCAAGGCCTCCTCAGACCAGCCAGGGAGTCCTGGCAGAGGCAGCACTGTCGGGTCTTTGCTGGCCATGGAGTCTCAGGGAATGGCTGGCTCATGGTAGGGAGAGCACAGGCCACTGGGCCTGAGCTGGAGACCGTGTCAGTGGAGACAGATATGTGAGGCCCAAGGGAGCTGGCAGTTTGGACAGTTGTGACTCTGCCAGGTCTCCTGCAACCTTGGCACGTGCTGGCCCTCGTGGAGGAAGTGTCCTGACCTGTCAAACATGATGGTTGAGAAGATGAAGTGAGCCAGGCATGCTAGTGCAAACCTATAATCTCGGGACTCTGGGAGGCGGAGACAGGAAGGTCACGAGTTCAAGCCCAGCCTGGGCAACTTAGCAGCAAGACCTTGTCTCAAAATATAATTGAAAAAAGGTTTGGTGATGTAGTTAAGTGCAGAGGCCCTGGACTCAGTCCCCAGTACCACATAACACACACAGACACACACAGACACACACACACACACACACACACACACACACACACACAAACGATGAAGTGAGATGATGCCTGTGCTGTGTTAGCCCAGAGCCTGGCACCAGGCAATGTTGATCCATGAGTTTGAATGACCTAAGGTCCCGTCACAGACCAACTTCTGACAAAATCACCTGCTCATAGCTGTCCATTCATTGTTTGGTTTTAATTCTTAGAGCAACTTTTTTTTTTTTTTTTTTTTGTCTTTTTGAGACAGGATCTCACTGTGCAGTTCAGGCTGGCCTTGAGCTCACTTGTAGCCCAGGCTGGTCTCGAACTCACAACAGTCCTCCTGCCTGAGCCTCCCAAGTGCTGGGATGACAGGCGTGCGCCACCACGCCTGGCCAGAGCAACATTTTTTGTAGGGCAGCGTATGAGATGAAATTGGGGCTTATTGCCTTGCCTGCTGTCACAGACTTTGCTGGTGGGCGGAACTGAAGATTCATCCCAGTTCTGTAGCCCAGACTTGGACCCCTCTGAGAGCTAGGTCCTTTACATGCGCAGTCCTGTTTCCAGCTCCTCCGGGCTTTGGGGGGCAGGCGGTGCTGTGACCCTTGAAGAGAAGCAGAATGAAGCCCATGGTCCTGGGGCACGGTATGAAGACGGGCCGAGGAAGTAGCGGCATGGAGGGGACGTGCCGGCAGTCCTGCTCCTGTGTCTCCCTCAGAAGGTTGCTGCAGCATCCCAGGGCCTGCCAGTTCTTCTGCTTTGTGGGGGGCCGGACTTGCGGCTGGCAGGATTGCACCCCTCACCTTTGTCTCCCTATCCCCACAGAGGAGAGGCGGGCCAGGGAATGGCCACTGGAAACCCCTGAGCTCCCTGAGGGCCATCTGGAAGACTGGCTGGAGAAGAGAGCCAAGAGGCTGAGCTCGGCCCCAAGCAGCAGGTACAGGGCCCAGGGCCCGTTCCCCGCGCCCGCTGGGAGCAGACTGCAGCCTGCCTGTTCTCTGCAGGAGCTGAGGAATCCCTGTGATCTTCCAGCCGTCGGCACTCCCCACACGCACGCAGCTCCCTGCCAGTGGGGCACGCTGGAAGCCTTAGGTTCCCAGCCCTGGCGGGAGGGGGTACACTTGGAAGGCGCCTGTTCTCTGGTCCCCTCATTTAGTAGCTCATCCCCTTATTAGAGTGTAGTGGCTAAAGGAAGGGCAGGTAGCCAAACAGATGGCAGCCGAGCTCCCAGTGTCTAAGCAACCTGTGTAGCTGCTACCCACTCTCCCCTCTAGGGTCACCTCAGAAGGGGAAAGCGAGGCTCTCAGGAGCGTAGCTGCCTAAGTGCACATACTGTTAGGAAGAGGCAGAGCACGGGTGGTACGGGGTGTGACAACAAGGTTCTTGTCCCGTTGCCTCCCCAAGGGAAGGGTCCAAGTACTGAGGACGCTCAAAAGTGGGCCGGAGCCCTTCAGCTCTTACACAGGAACGCCCTGGGTCAGGGTCCCTTGCGGTGTGGGCTGCGTGCCAACCCAGGTCCTCCGTTCTGGAGGAGAGGGACACAGTCCACACTTCACCCCAGCGGACAGAGGCACAGAGGCAGGCAGGGGCTTCTATAACCACATAGCATCATAGCCAAAAGCAAGGCCAGGGCTCCTGGGGTCCCCGTCCATGAGTGGAGGAACGAAAGGAGGAAAGGGGGCTAAGGGATGGGCTCCTGAGCAGCGTGCGACTGCGTACAAGCTGCCCTATCCTGGGCCTCCTCGCTTGCCATCTTGTAGTGGAACTTGCGGTCCAGTTTATCCCCATGGTGTGGCCTCATGGGATGGCAGCCTGGCTTCAGCCAAGGGGACCTGGTCACAGCCTGTGGGATGAGGGCTTCCCAGATTGCAGCTCTGCCAGCAAAAGTTGAGTTCTTGCCCCGGTGAAGAGATTACTAACTTTGTCTTTCACCTTGATTTTAAACCCTTGCCCGGTGTTTGTGCCCTCACCTTAAAAGTACATGGTACGGACATGACGTAAATGTCAGATGTGGGTGGGGCTCAGTGATAGTGATTCTCTAGCCTGTGGGAGGCCCTGGCTCTAATTGCCAGCACTTAAAACAGAGTTGGCGTGTGGCATCCCTTCCCCTAGACCTATCTGAAGGAATGTGTCTTTGGTCGTGTGGGCTGGTCCTTCTGGGACCAGCCAGCATGCAGATATTCGGGGCCTATGAACCAGGATCTTCTAACCTGTGTGCCAGAGGGTTAGGGCTGGTCAGAGGCTACCCACAGAGCTCCCAGGGCTCCCTCTGCTCCCCTACTTTACCCTTCAGGTCACAGCACCAACCAGCTTCTGAAACGCGCTCTGGCTGGGACCTCCCCTGCTGGCACCCTCCAAGGCATCTCCCACCTCAGCAGGGCCTCAACTCCACAGCCCTGCTGTCAGGGCCTGAGGGTACCTCCCAGCTCGCCCACATGGCTCATCGCTTGTATCTGGCCTCTGTGAATCACAGTAGACACTTGGCAGCTTCTTAGATGGGGTGGTCACTTGCAATTTGGGGGCATCCTGGGTACAGTTTCTTCTTTTGCTTACAAGATCTTGTCTCCGCACCTGTGCCTGGCAAAGCCCCACTCCGCCTCTGAGCGTTAGCTGGGATATTTTTCCTTCCAGCCTCAGCTCCTCCTCCCAGCCTCAAGCAGGCGTGGGTGGGCCCAGGACATGGTGACTGCATGAGGATACATTCTGGGGAGCGGGGTCCCCCGCCTGGAGCACTGTTATCTAGGTGTTCCTGCTATGAGCCCCTTGTGGTCTGGGGATCTCGGGAAGCCCCCGTTTCCGCCGTCTGGGGCACAGATGGCTGCCTGGCCCACCTGGGGCTTCAGCCTCCACAGGCAGAGCAGATCCCCCGCCCCAGGAGCTGGGCCAACCTTCCTTGTAAACAGGGACACAGAGACTCCCAGAAGGCGCAGTGTGGCAGCACGCGCTCCTCCCCTTAACAGACTGACCCTGAGGGATCAGCCAAGAGCAGACAGTGGTGCGCGGCGGCGGGAGGGAGCAGCCGGCCTCAGACATGCAGACTAATCCCTGGCCGGGCCGTGCTGTCCCTGCTTCCATTGTTGGCTCTTCTGATTGGGACTTTATCCCTCTTAATCTCCCCTGTGCACCCCTCTCTGGGCCAGTGCTACTGTACATGCCCCTCCACCTCCATGAGACTCTTTCCTCTTGGTAAGGAGCGTGTCTGGGCAGGAGCCAGGGAGCTGCTCCTGTCCTTATGGACAGGGAGGTCAGGCCCTGTGAGAAGCCTGGGGCAGGGTCCCGCCACATGCACACCTGTAACCCCAGGTACGGGGCTGCCAGTGTTCGCTCTGAGGCTCAGAGGGTGGCCGGCTTGGCAAGCTGCCAGCGTCCATGAGCAGACTCGGGGAACACCCGGCTCCTGCCATGGCCCTTAGGGCAGACAGAGGCCCTGGGCTGAACACTGGACCCAGAAGATGGGTCCTAGCTGCCCAGGAATCTATCCAGTTTGCTGGAGGAAGGGCCTGAAGCTCAGGGGCAGGGGCTTCCCGGGATCAGAACCTCCCAGGGAGAACCTGCTGTCACCACAACTCCCTCGAGAACCCTAGCTCTGCTGCCGCTGGGGCACCTCCTTCCAGCAACTGTGAAGCCTCTCCCACCCTCTACCTTCTCTGCGGCTGGTGGAGTTTATGAAATCTCCCCAGCCCATAAATCATGCTGAGAGCCGCTTTCTGTGCTTTCCAGCAGGCAGCAAGCCATTGAGCAGGGGATGTCCCTTTCCTCTCCCTGGAGGCTCCAGCAAGTCCTCAACTGTCCTGTCATCAAGTGTAGAGAGGGGCAGCTGGTGGATGCAGCAAGGCAAACGCTCCAGGCTGTTGACTCCAGCCCCCAACCCCTACCCCACCTCCACCTCCACCTCGGAGACCTGAGGCCTGTCCAGACTGCTCCTCTTTCTGCAGAAGGCTGACCCCTGGGCCCCCAAATCAAGTCAGGAGCTGCCAGGTCCTCACCTTTCCTTCAGGCCCGGGGAGGACCGGGGTATGCCTGGAGCAGAAGGAACTGAAGGGGCGGGTGGTAATGTCTGGGCTGTATTGATTGCATCACCTGACATATGACTGACTCCTTGCACATCAGTTGCTTCATTTGCAGAATGGGCTTCACATGGGGATTCTTGAGGTTTCTCTAGGCCGTAGTGTCCGTCCTGGAATAGTACCTAGCCAGGAAGAGCTCATAGTGTGGCTATTTGCTACTGTGCGGTGTGTGGGTGACCTCTTGGCATCAGGCCCAGCCTGGACACTGGCATACAGACAGGCCATTTCCCTACCCATGCCCTCTGCCTTCTGAGAGCCCCAGGCCCAATGGGGGACAGATATGAGCCCCTAGGCTGGTTCAGAGTGCTTTGTAGCCACGAAGGACTGTGTCCCTAGAGTGGCCTGAGGGGGCCCGAGTCTGGAAGGGTCTGAACGTGGAACATGCGGGAGGGAGGGGAAAGGCTACCCGTGTGCCTCCCTGGGCCTCAGTCCCTGCCTAGCCAGGGCTCCCCAGGCTGGGCACAGATGATGCCTTTCCAAGAACAGCACTTCAAATGGGCCCTGAGTTCCGGGGAGGGGTGGCTTGCGGGGAGGTGAATGGTGAGGAGAATGAGTAGCATGAGAAATGAGGCTTTAAAAAAAATTCAGACCATATTTTTTTCTGATTTCAAAGGCTTGCGTGCTTGTAAAACTTTCTGAAAAGTATAAAGAAGTTAAAAAAAAAAACCACCCATAATTGTACCACTCAGATAGAACCACTGTTAACATTTTGCTGTATCTTCCAGGGTTTTATGCATTTATATATGTTATATATCTTTAAACAAAAATAGTATCATGCTATATACATTATTTTATAAGCTGCTTCTTCTCCCTACTCACATAGTATGTCTTTCCTTATCAGTGCATATAAAGTTGCCTTAATTTTTACACAGGCTGCATAGCATTCCCCACTGTGGACGTGCATATGTATTTAATCAGTCCCCCACACGTGGACACTGAGGTTACTTCCATTCTTCCCAAGGCCATTCTTGCACCTCAGTCTCTGCCTATAACCCAGCTGTTTTCTTGGGCTCCGTTCCTAAGGGGAGGTTGCTGGCTGTAATCTGCTTCCAGGCAGCCAGCCCTCCCCATAGCCAGGGTGGCGGGAAGGTGAGTTGGTTCTGGGCTGCACTCCAGCCTGAGCATGGGATGTGCCCTGTCCTAATGTTCTGCCTTTCTCTCTTTCTCTCTAGGGGCGAACCCCTCAGAGCCACCGTCTTCCAGTACCCTGTGGGCTGGCCGCCAGTCCAGGAGCTGCCCCCATCCCTGCGGGCACCCCCACCAGGGGGGTGGCCCCTGCAGCCCAGAGTGCAGTGGGGCTGAGGCCCATACCCATGCTTAACTCCCATGGTCACTGTCTCATCCTTCACAATAAAAACTCTTGTTCACACTGGGGAGGCCGAGCCCCTGCCTGCTGTGTCCCGTGGAGTCCTGAGGCTGCGGGACTGACCTCCTCAGGGCTCAGCAGCCCCCGTGGCAGCTGCAGCCCCATCCACCATCCTCCCTGCCTCACGGGATGTCTTGAGATGAGCAAGGAAACTTCCAGATATTTATAAAGAAAGTTCGTCCCCATGGTGGTTTGAGTGCGTCTGCCCTGCCGGCATTCTCAGCTCCATTCTGCAGCCACTGGTCAGGGGACGCACAGGGCCTGCATGAGACAGGTCCTCTCCAGAGCGATGGGGCTTGCAGCGCTTCTCCCTCGGGGACCAGTGGAGGTTCAGCCAGCTGGGCAGAGGGTACACCAGTGTGGCAGTGCCTGTCACCTGGGTGTAAGCAGCCCCAGGCCTGATGACAGGTGCCCAAAGACTCCACCTGCCATCACAGCTCTGGCAGACTTCGCAGCCCCACGTCTGCCCATGCTGAGCTAGTGCCAAGCATTGAGGGTGCGACACGTGGGACCGAAGAAGGGCTGCTCTCTGGCCTGGAGGTGCAGATAAGTGGGAGGGGGACAGGCAGGGAGGCTCTGAGCTAGGAGAGTGGCTTGGCCACACTTCTTGGCACTGACGGCACCGGGCGGTGCCCGCTCCCTGACGCAGGGCGTGGCCCGGAGGCCTCCCCGGGTCCTCTGGCGGAGCACCCTGACTGGTGGGGGTCACACAGGCTGCTCGGGCTGCGGCTCACTCAGCTGGACTACAGCTCTAGGTTCTGTGCTGGGGGTAATACGGTCCTTGATCCCAGGGCCTATGGGGGTGGCCCAGAAGGTTGGGATGCTCCATCCTCCACGAGCTCCTGCCTTGCCTAAGAATCCCTGTTGGAGGAGAACCTGGGGCCAGGTCTCATGCCTTTGGACCTTCAGGCTTTTCATGGGGAGGGCTGGGTTTGGGTCTCTGGAGGGTCAGAGGAAGGAACCCGGGAGACCACAGCCTTATACCCTTTTCCAAGAGATTTTCTGTCCCCTGTCAACATTACCTTGCCCACAGCTCTGGGCAAACCTCACAGACCAGAACTGGGGTTGGCTTTGTGACCCTAGGCTGATGGCTGCCCTCTCTGGACTAAGGCCCACAGCAGGGACTGGATCTTGGGGGGGTCCCTGTACAAATCCCTCCTTTCCCAGGGGACCCTGGAATGTGGGAAGAATAGCGCTACATACAGGCCAGGGTGGGGGCACAGGCAAGATGTAGGGAGCCGGGGGCTGTCCTTGGAGCCACCACCAGGTCCTGCACGGCCAGGCCACAGCTCCATGCAAGGCCGGTGGAGCAAGACAGGTGGGGTCACCAGATGTCCAGGCCCTGAAGTACATGTGGATGGTGGCCTGGGGAGCCAGCAGACGGGGAGGGCTGCAGTAGTGGGTGTGGAGTGGCCTGGGCACCGCATACACCAGACAGGGTCCCAGTGGGGCCTATTTCATGCCGCTGCGCAGCACCTGGTTGGCCGCGATGAGCATGACGCTGATGATGAAGGCGATGGCAAAGGCGCAGATCAGACTCTTGCGCACGCACGTCTGGCGGATCTGCTGGTTGGAGCAGGCTGTGGCCACCCACGGGGAGCACCAGGGAGTAGAGAGAGACAGGAAGAGAGTGAAGCAATGGAATCAGGAGCTGCCACTTTGCAACATGCGCTGGACCCATGAGGGACACGGGGACATGGGACTTGGGATGCGCAGGAGCCCCTGAAGTCTCCCTGTGCAAACCCCTGGTGTATCCCCCACGCAAGCAGTTGAGCCTCCCCATAGGCACTCACTAGGGGCCAGGTACTCACTCTCCACATCCACGGGGCACTCCTCAGCCGTGCCCAGGTGGCTCTCTTCCTCCGTCATGATGATGTTCTCTATGTCCTTCATGGACAGGTGCTCACAGAAGGTGTCGTAGAGCAGCCGCTTCAGCTCGTCCACTGTCAGCTTCTGCATGTCGCACTTGGGTGGGGTTGGGGAGCGGGTAGTGTTCTGGCTACTGCTCTGCCACAGTCCCCACCCAGCACCCTCTAGCCATGCATGCAAGCATAGAGACAGACCTCCCAGTCCCAAAGTTCTGGACACCACTCTCTCCATTCCCCCAGAGAGTACCTGTCTCTCCCAAGGAGCCCAAGGCCTTCCAGGAGGTATTCACCCAGGGGACAAAAGCCTGGAGTGATCACCTGCCCTTCACAGGGTGGGCCTTGCTATTTGCAGCCATGATCCCTCTCCACCATGCACAGCCCTGAGTCCCAACCAAGCAAGGCATACCTTCCAAAAGACGGTGTCGAAGTCAGTACCATGGAACTTCTCCGGGATTCCCGAGGTGGAAAGCTTGGGTCCTAGGAGGGTCACAAACTCCTCAAAGTCTACCTGGCCATCACCTGAGGGAGACACAGGTCCAATCAGTAGGTCAGAATGAAACCCAGCTGGGAAGGCAACCCACGGCCCAGAGGACCTGAGATGGAGTCCTGGCCCACTTGGGCTTACCATGTGACCTCAGGCAGCTGTCCCCCCAGACAATTCCAGGGCCACCTAACAAGCCCCTAGGTGAAGTCCCACTGGGGAATGTGTAGGTGGGGGCAGCAGGTGGCCTCAGTGGGGCCAGCATGTGGGAGGCCCTCCCAGCTCACTCAACCCTCCACGGCCCCCAGCACTCTCATGCTGATGAGGTTGACTATATGGCCTGGACGTCCTTTCTGTCATACAGATAGGACACAAAGCTGTCACTGGCTGGCTTGATGGGGAAGAGACCACAGTGGGATAAAGCAGAGGAGACTTGGCATCACTGGTCTTTATCAGTTTTTCCTTAATGAAATGCTAGGCGGCAAGCAGAACTAATTAATTTTGTTTTGGGTCATGGGGACTGGAATATTTATGACACTATGATATCCTTCCTACTTTCCTGTACTTACTTATTTTGTGGTACTAGGGATTGAACATAGGGCCCTTGCATGGAAGTACATCCCCAGGCATCATCATTATCATTATTATTATTTTTTTTTTTTGGTGTTTTTGAGACAGGGTCTCACTATGTATCCCAAGCTGGTCTTGAACTCACAGTGGTCCTTGCTTCTCAGCCTCCTGAGTGCTGGGATTACAGGTGTGCATCACCACACCCAGTGTCACTTTCTATTTTAAATTTTGAGACAAGGTCTAACTAAGTGGCTAAATTGCCCAGGCCAGGCTTACACTTGTGATCTTCCTGCAGCAGCTTCCCAGAATGTAAGGATTACATGTGTGCCCCACCACAGGCAGCTTTCTGTTTTGTTTTATTTGAGGTAGGGTCCTGTTATGTAGCTCAAATTGGCCTCAAACTCGTGATCTTCCTGTTCTAGTCTCCCAAATGCTGGGGTTACAGGCAGGTGCCTCCACCCTCAGCTGTTTTTTCCCTACTTTACCATGTTTCAGACTACAGAGTGAAAGAAGCAGTCCTTTCACTGCCTGGAGCTATCAAACCCTCTTTGGCCTCAGTTCTCCAAGCTGAGAAATTGGGCCACACTTATCACGGGCTTTGAGGCAGCTTGAAGTGGGGTGAGCAGGAAGCCCAGGGTGGGCTCTGTCTCAGTGGCTCAGACCCAGACCCTGCCCTGCCCAGGGGGTCCAACAGGTGAGGAAACTGAGGCAGGGGGCTCACCGTCCATGTCCAGCCGCTGGATGATGACCTCTAGCTCCACCTCGTTGGGCATGTAGCCCAGGGAGCGCATGGCCGTGCCCAGCTCCTGCTTGGAGATGAAGCCATTGCCATCACGGTCAAACACCTTGAAGGCCTCGCGGATTTCTGTGGGGGGAGCAGAACAGGCTGGGACCTCAGCCCTGTCCCCAACATCCCCCTTCCCAGACCCCCAGGACCTGAGAGTCCAAGCCTGAAACTGCACATCCAGTGAAGCAGTCATAGGTGGCCCCAGGGTGTACTCTTGCCGCTGCTTTCTGAGGACTCTGGCCTGGCTAGGCCTCAAGCACAAGTGTACTTGGCCAGAGGCAGTGACAGTGTGCCAGGCTCCCACAGCCTCTCCTGGCATGCTCACAACGACCCCGTGTGGTGGGTGCAAGGAGGGCGCTGGGCTCACCAGGCCAAGACAGCTGCTGGAGGGAGGCTCCCCCACCCCAGGTCCCTCCAGCCTCCCACCCCCAGTCCCTCATCTCCATCCCACTGGGCTTCCTGCACCCCAGGTCCTAACACTGGCCAGCATTCACTAATGACCACGTGAAGCAGGAGCACCTCCAGCTAACAGGCTGACAGCTGGGCACAGGCTGCCTCCCCATTTGGGGGAAGAGAGAGAGGGCAGGAGGGCCCCCAGCAGGCCCAGCCTGGATCAGATGCAGGGGTCACCTCTCTATTGTATGGAGGGGAAGACTGAGGCCTGAGAACCTAGGTGACTCAGGTGTGGAACAACAAACACCTTTGGCTGGGACTTGGAGACTAGGCAACTCAATGTACATCCTTGGGCAGCCTCAGTCTTATCTACAGCAAAATGGGCAGAATGATGAAGACAACAAAGATGGCTGGGAACTGTTGAGGGGGTCCTAGCCTCCCACCTTTGCTCCACCTTTGTTTCTCTGTTGCTGTCTCTTTATTAACACAACCCCATTCTGACCCCAAACAGTACTTCCTTCTTGGGGAACAGATCTCAGCCCTCTAACTTCAGCTCCCCGTGGTCTCCTTGTTGCTCCCTGAATGGGGAATTCTGCAGGCAAGAGTCAGGGATAGAGAGAGAGAGAGAGACAGCGCGTGCGTGTGTGTGTGTGTGTGTGTGTGTGTGTGTGTGTGTGTACACACCACAAACTGAGGTGCAGGTAAGCTAGAGGGCCGGCCTGGCTCAGAGGGGGTCAGGGCTACTGCTATTGGTCAGGCTGTCCCAGGCCTTGACCTAGGAAGGGGCCTGTGGGTTTTTAAACTACTTACAGAATCCTACACTCTTATCTTAGGAGGAAACAGGAGCCAACCCGAGACCAGGGACCCCCACAGCAGGGTGACTGAGCCGAGGCCCCGAGCTCCATCAGGCTCTCCCCCACTGCCGTCTGCATCCAAGGTCTGAGGGCACGGTCTTGCACGTAGGCTGAGACGTTGGGCTGTCCCTGAGCTGTCTGTGCCCTCCAGGACCATCCCAGGAAAGGCCTGAGACTCTGGTCCCCTAGCCAGTGGCCCTTGGTCCAGGGAAGCAGCAGGGCTGGGAGGTCTAGACCACGCCCAGGGCTTTCTGCAAAGCCCAGATCTGAGAAATCCAGGCCAACTCCCACCTAGCATTTTCCCGGGCCACCGAGGAAACACTGAGCTCCCCATAACCAGAGGTGTGGAAGAGGCCTGGCAGCTCTGGGAACTTCAGCCCCAGCGGCCTTGGCGAGCCCCAGCACTGCTCCACTTGCAGCCTTTGAATACACAGCTGCTCTTGCCTCAAATGCTGTTCGGGTCCCCACGGCCAACTAGGACGCAGCCCCAGTTCTCAGAGTGCACAGCTCCATCTTCCTGTGCCCTCTCCACCCCCTGCTGTCCTCGGCCTTCCCCTGGGTCCCCACAGGCCCGTGTTTCCCCCACACTACATCATCCCCCACACTACAACTCTGAGTGCCATGACAGCAGGGACTCGGTGAGTCGTGTTCATAGTTTTCCCATTACCTGGAGCAGGGCCTGTCACTCAAGCATAAACATTTGCAGAATGAATGATGAAGGAAACGAATGACATGAGGAACCCACCCACCGGGGCAGTCGGAGAAAGAGCTGAGCAGACCTCACGTACCACTCGCCGTGTAGCCATCGCTCAGCGCCCCGAACAAGCCTGGCCAAAGGAAGCACGTGCTTTCCACCTGCAGCAGCCAGACGCAGGAGTCTGCCTGGCCCCTGGCTCAGCACCCAGTGCCCTGGGCCGCATTCACACTATGGGTCACCCACAGAAGAGGGAAATGGAGCTGAAGGGCTAGTCTGGGGGGATCCAGGGTCGGGACCCCCACCAAGCCTTTGGTTTCCCCCTCTGCAGAGGCCCATTTAGGAGCTCTCGGGGCCAGGAGGCAAAGCCCTGGCGCACAGTGGGGACAGGAGTGAGAGGCACCCACTCCCCTCGCTGTGAGCTGAGGTACAGGCTGTATCCTTACCCTGGCGGGGGCTGGGGACAGCCCCCAAAGCCCAGCACTCCCTCAACTACAGCCAGCTCTCTTCCTTGGAAGTTCCGAGGAAAGGCACTGGGCAAAAGGGACGACCACAGAGGCCAGGCAGGCAAATCTTGGGGTATGTGGGCAGACAGCAGGCTCTAGGACAGCTGTGCAGGCTCCACGGCCATCTCTCAGGCAGGGCTAATCTCTTGGGGCCACTGGGTAAATCCACAGCCTGTCACCTCCCTGTGCACAGGTCCCTTCACCCACCTTTTCTGCACACCCAACTCACACTACCGTCTGGGAGCCCTGCCCCAACTGACCCCTTCTGCCCAGAGAGGCCCAGTTCAGGCCCCAACTGACCCCCTCCTGCCCAGAGGCCCAGTTTAGTTCTTCTCCACTTGTTGGTCACGTAGACCCAGGTTCAAATCCTAGTCTCCTCCATCCTGGCTGGGTGACCTTAGGCAGCCATTTGCTCACCTGTACAATGGGACCTGCTGGGATGATTAAGCAAGAAAATCAAGCATGTAAGTGTTCAGCCAGGCCTGGCTCAGAGATGGACGCTGTAAATCAGATCGTCCCAGATGGCAGAGATAGAAGGAGAGCAAGGACTGGGTGAGGTCAGGACACCAGGCTGGTCGCCCACTGTCAGGACTGGGACGTGAGGCCTGGGCTTGAATCCTGGCTTTACTGCTCAGCAACCAAATGACCCAGACAAAGCACCTCCCTCTCTGAGCCTCAGGAACCGGGCTGTGAAATGGGATGAGACTCTGCCCCATGGCCTCCTACCCACTCCTGGAGGGTCCCCGAGGGTGGTGGGTGTCACACCTGTCACTCTGTGCCACAGCACAGCATGGCTGGGTGCATTTCCCCGAAAGCCTCATTCCCTTCCCGCCTGTGAGGCCAGGGGAACCCTGCCGTGCTACATCTTGGCATGGGGATGGCTGGCCCGGGAATGGGCTGGCAGGGCCGCCAGGTTTCCAGGCTGATACTATCCCCCACTTGCCACCTCCAACCTGACATCCCTCAATCCCCTGCCCAACTGGCGGAGCTGTGTCAGGACCGGAGCCCCAGCAGGCCCCGAAGGACACACAAGCGCTCTGTCAGAGAGCTGGAGTGCAGGGGCACAGGATGGCGGTCACTGGAAGGGGCAGTGTCCATCCTCTGCAGTGCCAGCCACTCTCCGCGGCATTGGCCCTGCGCCCCACCTCTCCAGCCTCCCTGAGCTTCTGGTATCTGCAGAGGTGTCTGCTGGCCTCAGGCTGCAGGTATCAGGGTCGGGAAGGGAACTCCCCAGCCTGCCCCTGGCCAGAAGGCCCCCATCTGGCCACTCTCAATGCAAGGTCCACTTCTGACCTGGCCAGCCGAGTGGCAGCCCCAGAACCTCGCCCTGGTGGCTGTCTGCCTGCCTGTCCCCCTTCTCCCCTCTCCGGCCAGAAAAGGTGACGGTGTGCAACCCAGCCCCCATTCCCACCCTCGGCCGCTCCAGCCCACTGATGCCTCAGGGCCAGCCTCAGTGCTCCTGGAGGCCTCTGCTATGGGCGCACACTGGAGAGGGGGTGCACAGAGGGAATGTGAGGGAGCCCCTGTCTCTTTCTTATGGGCGCGGTGGGCCCCCAGGCCAGCTCCACCCAGCCACATCCTTACTCTGCCAATTGCCATGCATGGCTCCCCAGAACCACAGGTCCCCAGATGTCTCCGTCACACTGAGCCCTGGCCCCCAGCTTTCCCTCCTGGCCCATCCGTGCACTGGCTGCAGCCCTGCTTCATAGGCCTCAGGTACTCCAGGCTCTTGCCCCCTGTGGGGTCCTCTACCTTCATCTTCCCTGCTGCCAACGTTGGGGTCCCCAAACCCCACTGCCAGGTCCTCTGCTGAGTACTTCCATTATATCCTCTACCCCCAGCAGCCCTGGGTAGGGCAATGCCAGCCCTCTCTTTTACAGATGGGGAAACTGAGGTTCAGAGGGGCAAGCGATTGGCCAAGGTCACTCCATAAGCCAAGGATGCAGAAGCTCGAACCTAGCACTACCTGGCTGGGAAGCCCTCATTCGAACCTTGGGCTCCCCCTCGCCCGTCCTCGTCCTCCTCACCACGCAGACTGACCGCCCCCTGGGTTTCTGCCGCAAGGAGGCACGCACCGTCTGCAGCGTTTCATCCCAGGCCGCCCGCTCCCTCTTCCTGACACATGTGGCTCCCTCACAGACACCCTTCTCCCAGCAAAGGGCCTGGGTCTTTCCCAGACTGCCCTGGGGCAGGAGCACTACAGGGTCCCGGAGAAGCAGAGGGAAATCCGTGTCAGGGACAGCCACTCTCCACCCAGTCCTGGCATTCAAGGACCACTGCTAGGAGCCCAGGGCCTGCAAGGGCTTTGGGGGCTCCTATATCCAAGAAGGGACAGCCATGGAGGACTTCTTGCCTTCATCTGTAGATGTCCACAGGCTGGCAGATTGGCTGGGGCCACTCAGACATCTGCTGGCTCCATGCCACCCACCTAATGTCCCCAGAGAGGGCCCTGTCCTTCAGGTGCCCCCTGCACCAGGGCCCCTCTGCTGGCCCAGGAGAAGAGGACAGGAGAGAAGCAGGGAGTGTGTTCGGTGTGACGGTGACTAACATCACTGGTGCCCTGCCAGCGTGTCCACTGGGCCGCCCCAGGGGAGCGTGTGAGCTCCTTGTCCCTGCACTGCCCACCCTGTG